GTTGCCAGGTGGCTCAGTTAGTTGGAATATTGTCCTATACACTAAAAGGCTGCTGGTTCAATTACTGGTCAAAGCACATGCCTGGGTTGCAGGTTCAATCCCTGATCAGGGCACATGTAGGAGGCAGCCAACCAATTTTTCTCACATCCCTTCCTCTCTCTAAAAATCAATAAAAACATATTTTTGGGTGAGGATTGAAAAAATTAAATAATGAGGGACCAATTTTGACAGGTAGATCAGGGCCAGGACTTTCTAGGTAAATGGAACATCAAAGATATAAAGGCTGGAAAGGTAAGGCATATTTGAAAAAGGTGATAGCTAAAGTGTCAACTATGTATAGCAGATTCATAAATAAGAAAAGTGTATTGCACTGTGGCTGGATCACACAAGATCTTAACCACCAGAATGAGGTTTTAGAAATGCTTCAATGGACAACAGGAGGGGAGGGGGAGTGGAGGAGGAAGCGGTAGGCTGAATATGAGAAGAAGGAATAAAATCAGGAAGATCTGTAAAGGTGAGTCAGTTTATTGTGAAAATGATGGAAGAGCCAAGGGAATCCATCAGGAGGCACTAAGGTAAACTTGTGAGTTGCATGGGGAGAAGAGCTGGATTCAAGAAGCACTTGGTGGTGAATTAGCATGGAAACTAGGTGAAGGAGTTGAGACAGTGCCAAGGAGTAAAGATGTCTCTCAGCTTTGAGTGGAGGTTCTGGAAGAATGGTTAGGCCATTAACAGAGTTGTTGAATTTAGGAGGGAAATCACCAGCTCCTTTTTGGATCTATTGGTTTTGTGTTGTCTTCTGCATATTGCTACACAGCTACCTAACTGCCCAATGGGAAGATGGGTAGTGTGTCAGAGAAGTTTAACTGACCACTCAGAGGGCTCTTCCTGTTTCTGCTCAGCTTCCCACTCTCTTGCCCCTTAATTAATAAGTGCTTAATGAATACAATGCTTGGTATGTAATGGACATTCAAAATATGCTTGGAAAATAAATCCACTTAGCAAAAGAATTGTCAAGAGAAGTGTCAGAACAAAGGCAAAGACTAGAGTGAGGGAAAAGAAGAATTGGCTGCCAATAACGAGAAATACTAAATATGAGTCACTGGACATAGTCATTTCCTAGACATTAAGGATTCCAAAGCCTGATGGGAGCTACAAGTGGTAGAAACGTGGTGGAATTCAGACTATAGAGCCCTAATCGGTTTGGCTCAGTGGATAGAGCGTCGGCCTGCGGACTCAAGGGTCCCAGGTTTGATTCAGGACAAGGGCATGTACCTTGGTTGTGGGCACATACCCAGTGGGAAGTGTGCAGGAGGCAGCTGATCAATGTTTCTCTCTCATTGATGTTTCTAACTCTCTATCCCTCTCCCTTGCTCTCTGTAAAAAATCAGTAAAATATATATTTTTAAAAATAATATAGAGAAACTCTGAGGCCAGAATAACAGATGTGTGAATGTTGAAGTCACCAGGGATAATTGCAAAGAGTAAAAATGACTGCTTTCGACTTGGCCTTTAGAGGAAGTCATTTTGGCTCTCTTCTGCTATACCTCTCCCCAGGGGGAGTCCGTGGTTCCATGAGGTCATGTTCACTGTGCCTCCAAACCCAGCTCTGGGTTCCAGGGCCCAGAGATTCCTTATTCAAATGGCCAAGCCTGCTTCCAGCGTCTTCTCAGGCCTCTTTCCTGGGTCGCTAACCTGGGGACATATATGATCCCACTGCTTTGCCCACTCCAGGCCTGAGTAAAGGCCAAGGGGCATGTTTTGAGGAAAGTAGGGAGATGTAAATAGAGTTTTCGTGGTGAGAGGCAGGACTTGATTCTTGTGACTATGGATATGCAAATGTTTTTAAGATCTACTCTAGTGAGGGATGGAGCTGAGATAAAAGAGAATGGGAACAAAAAGTGGGCTGGGGACTGGCTTCCAGATTTCTTTGTACCACCACATTCTGAAACAGATGTCCAAGAAGTCAGAAAATTTAAATACAAACCTAGATTTTCAGGTGGTAAAGAAAGTGCATTTGTCCATGTCCAAAATTAGACTATATTTTATTTAAGTTTGTAAGAGTCATTTATAACTTCTAAATATTTAGATATGTAGACTTTCATTTGCAATCTTGCCCTCATACATTAGGAGTCTTGGGAATGAGCAGGTTGTAAATATCTCCCTACTGTGAGTCTTGAGCTTCCCTCCTGTTTTTTGACAACCACTGCACTTCTTGGGTGATAATTAACTTGTTCTATTATCTGTCTACTCTGATTGACACAAAGCTGTGTGAAGGTAGGAACCAGGCTGTCTTGTTTACAAATATATATATAAATATATATATATTTGTAATTTACAAATATATATATATATATATATACACACACACACACATACACACACATACACACACACACATATATATATGTAAATTTTTTACAAATATATTTTTATATTAGGGCAATGATTGACACATAATAAGTGCTCACTAAATATGTCTAAAACTGTAAAATGTACATGACTTACACATTTGAGGACAGTGGAAAGAAGAGAAGTGTTAGAAGGGAGTGAATAACCTGAAAAGAGAATGCTAGGATAAATTATGACAGATATTAAGCAACAGTCTATAAGTTTTTCTTCCAATTGGGGAGAGCAGCAAACACACAACTTCTATTGCCATAAGAATTACAATTGAAGTAATCTATTCATTTTAAGCTTTAGGTGTGTGTGTGTGTGTGTGTGTGTGTGTGTGTGTGTGTGTGTGTGTGTTTCTTCCCTTTTAATTCGACTGGGATCAGCTATTTCATAGTGAGGGCCTAGAGTCCTTAAGTTACTGATTCACTGAAGTGCAGTAAAAAATGTAAATCTACATTTTAAAATTAATCGATTTTTCTTGAAAAATTGGACCTTTGGCAAGACTGGCCCATAGTCCAATATGGCCACAGTGGTCTGAAGCCTTTAAATGGGCCCGTGTTTATGAACAGGCCACACCTCACCACTCACAAAACAAATGCCCAGACATAGCCTGGCCACCAAAGGTCTCTGAATTCATGACCCCTGAAACTATGGTTTTATAAGGCCCCTTTGTTTTTTTTTTTTGTTTGTTTGTTTGTTTTACTTTGAAAGCCTAAGTGTAAGACCCTAACATAAAAGCAAACTGAGGAAGAGGGCATAGAGGAAGATGGGGACCCTCCCCCAGACTTTACTCTGATTCCCATAAACATCAAGGAGAAAGATAGGAATCCTGAAAGGAAAACAACAAAAATACTGAACAACCAGGGTAGGGTCTGCTCCACACCTGGATCCTAAGTCAGAACCAAGGACTAGGGAAGGAAGAAGGGCACTCTCTATTTGCCAGATGTCTGCCAAAGTTCACCTGCCGGCCTGCCTCAAGCCTTCAGGAGTTTCCCCAAGAATCGGAGATTAAGGATCTTGAACTGTTCATTGAGGTCCAAGTGGACGATGCCATCCTCATCATCGATGCTCAGCAGGACTCCTGTGGCTTCCTGATCCTCACCCAGGATGACCTTTACCTTGTTCTTGGTGGGGATGATGGGTTCTAGGTGTTCACTGGAGATGCTGACAACCTTCTCAGGTACACAGAACACATGCCTCCTATGACACTGCGGATGACCCCCGTCTGCCCCACCACGTGTGTATCCAGATCGGTATCTTGCACTTTCACCTGGATGTCAGTGGTTACCCAATCACTAGAGCCTGAGCCTGGTGTATGTGGGTTGTAGCCACCAGGGGAGGAAGGACCCTTTGTTTTGAAAGAATATCTTCTTTAATCTCTTTATAGTTTTATTTCTACCAACTTTTGAATGACCACAGTCATTTCTATTGTACTATAACTTTGCATATCTGTTTATATTTGCCAGAGATTCTGAAACTGAATTATTTCACATATAATCAAAGAAGCTCACCTGTTCTAGAAAGCAACTCTCTATTAGTGTCATGGACCCAAATTTCCCTTGATCGTTCCTCCAAGGGGAGATGCTTGACTGCTTCCTGGAAGGTGAAGATTAAGGGTGGTAATTCAGGGTTGGGGACACTGAAATTCAGGAACTGCCAGAGTGAAAGTTACAGAATCGGGCTTGGATGAATGATGAAGAAACCGAAAGATGCTAGAGCACTAATTTGTTCAAGTATTTATTGAGTGTGCCAAACACTATTTTGACACAAGAGATTTAACAAACACCAGCCAATGTCCCTTGCTTTCATTGAGCTTAATTCTCGTGTAGTAAACCGAATAACACACGCATATATTACATACATACACATGTACATGTCAGGTGAAAATACATGCTATTTATAAAACCAAAGCGCAGCCAGGAGCAGCCACTAAGAGGTGGCTGCTATTTTGGGGACTGGAGACCTCTCCCGCCTCCTCCCAATCCCGTACAAGATGCCACCTCCAGGGAAGCCCCTCCCACGTCCCCGCCCAGAGGCGGTCCTGGGGGCGGAGCTTCGAGCCCGGCGTTCTGAAGCGCGCGCTGGGGGTTCCCGGCATTCCCTCGTGCTGTCAAGCCCAGAATTAACCCCCGCCGGGCCGTGGCATGCTGGGAACTGTAGTCTCCACCTGCACCTCAGCGTCGCCGGGGAGCAGTAAGAGCCACTGGCTCCATTGCTGGGCCTTAACCAGCAGCACGAGGCCTGGAGGGTGGGGGGTGGGGGTGGAAGAGAGGGGTTGGGGTCACCCCGTAACACCAGGCACCTCCCGCCAGGAGAGCGTCCAGGCCCTGGAGCCGCCCCGGGCACGTGACAGCAGCCTCCCCAGGCGCGCTCGGTTCCTCAGCGCCGGTCCCGCCCCGCCCCGCCCCGCCCCGCCCGGCAGTCGGCCTGCGCCGGCCCCGGCGCTGCTGCCACCTCGCGCTCGGAGGCGTCACGGAACGTGCTCTCCCCCTCCCCTCCCCCTCCCGCGCCCTCCCGCGCTCCCCCGCCTCCCCCTCCCTCACTGAGGCTCGCCGCCGCCGCCGCCGCCGCAGGAGTAGCCGCCGCCGGAGCCGCGCGCAGCCATGGCCGAGAACCCGGGCCTGGAGAACCACCGCATCAAGAGCTTTAAGAACAAGGGCCGCGATGTGGAGGTGAGGGTGCCTCCCGGGCTGGGCCCGCCTGGCCGCGGCGCCGGCGGCGGGGAAGGGCGGGGGCCGGCGCCGGGAGAGCGCTCGCCGGCTCCGGCTCGCGGTGGGTCAGAGTTGGCCGCCGCCTCCCGTCCCCGGGCCCAGGGCTGGGCGGAGCGGGCGCGGCGCGGGGCCCGCCGCAGCCGCCCCTCCGGAGCCGCGGGCCGGGAAACGCCGTGGCGTTCGGCCCCGTCACGCGGGCGCGGCCTGCTGTCTGCCTGCCTGCGGGGAGGGATGTGGGGCTGAGGCGGGGTCCGCCGGCCGGGGCCTCGCGGGGCCGGGATGCTGCCGCCCGGGGCCGCCGGCCGCCGCGCCGGGGGGTGGCCGCGCTCGCGCCCGGGGCCGGCGCTCCCCCCTCCCTCCCGCGGGCGCAGCCCCCTCGGAGCCTCCCGCGCGGCCGCACATGGAGCCTCGGCGCTGCGGTCCCCGCGCCTGCCTCCTGCGAGCTGGGCCCGGCGGGCGGCGGCGCCCGCAGAGGGGGTGGGGACCAGCGGGTGACTGACTTGTTGGAGGGTGGCGGGTGGGGGAGGGTAGGATGCGCCAGGACCATTTTCTTCTATTCCCTATTCCAGAGCTGTCCTCTGGACCAGTCGCGCTGGCTGAGCTGTTCCAGCTCATTCTCCCGTTACCGCCGGCCTCTGGAGCAAGCTGAAGGGGGACAATAGTTTGCCATCCATTGTGCTGAGGCTTTAGAAGAGACATTGTTTCGACCCCCCCGTTTACAGGACCTGTTTCCTTAGCATTTCTTGTTTGTCATGGGGCTACCCTCAGGATTATTTCTTTGACATGTTTTGCTGAAAGAAGTTGAATCCATGGGTTTATACGGCCTTGTGTATGCCTCCTGCTCCAGGCTGGTAGAATCTCGATGTGGTTACAAAACTGTAAACATTCATGTGGTAACTCAGTTCGTTGCTACACACAGCATGTTGCCATTGTCTCATTCAGTTGACATAAGCAGGCACTGTTTGCAAACTCGATTTATTAAGGCAGCGCTAGAGGTCTCTTTGCAGCTTACTAAAAGCATTGTAATAGAATGCACAAACTTCATTGGGACTCTGACCTCCGGATTTGGTAGGGGGAAGTAGTTTTAAGTTCCCAGCCTCTTCTAATACTAGGTGACATGATTTGCAGTTTTTTAATTCTTGCTAAGGGCCAGTGTGAATAAGAAGTGCATTTTATTCTCTCTTAAGAAAATATGCCATTCAGTGTAGAAAACAGACAAAAACTCAAGCCATTTTTTTCAGAGCCACAAGTTTATATACTAATTGAAAAAAAAACTAAGGAAATACTGAGGAATTCACATTTGAATGAGACAAATATAGGTCATTTGTCTCTGTCCAGGTCATGGTTGTTACTTTTGTGAGAAATACTAATAAGCAAAAGAAAAATTGTGAATAGCAGCAAGAAATTTTAGAACTGGCTCCTGTTAATCGGTCCACTTGATGATAGGAATAAATTTTGAACCCTCTCTGACAGTAATTGTTCTTGAAACTTACCCCTATTATAAAGCAGAGCTTACATAGTTTGAAAAATACCCATATTGTTTATACAAAATTCTTTCTTTTTGAATATTGAGACAGGTTTTTGTCTTATTGTTTGCCCCTATTTTGTTCTGGGAGCTCAGTGATACCTTGTAAAAACTCCTCATGTAATAGATACATAATACATACTGATGACCAGAATATAACCAGTGACTTATAGATTAATGACTGCTAACTAAGCCTTTTAATCTGAAAGTATTAGTCACAACATTACATTTCCCAGGATACATACATTAGGATAAGTAAGGCATGAAATAACAGGTATTCAAATGGTAGTTATACTAAGGCTTTTTCTGTTTTTAATATATTTTATTGATTTTTTACAGAGAGGAGAGAGGGATAGAGAGCTAGAAACGTCGATGAGAGAGAAACATCGACCATCTGCCTCTTGTACACCCTCTACCAGGGATGTGCCCGCAACCAACGTACATGCCCTTGACCGGAACCGAACCTGGGATCTTTCAGTCCGCAGACCGACGCTCTACCACTGAGCCAAACCGGTTTCGGCTATACTAAGGCTTTGTGATACCTCATTTAATCCTTATAACAACTTTATGAGCTATATTATCCCCACTTTACAGGATGAAATTACTTTAGATGGGGAAACTCAAGTATGCACCCTGCACAAGGTCACAGTGTGGACACTCATTCACTGTCTTTTGGGTATCTAACTGTCAAATCTTGGAGAAACAAAAGGGAATAAAATTGAGTCTGTATCTCAAGGAGTTTACAGTTCAGCAAGAGTGGTAGAAGAGTAAACTGATAATTACAATGCAGTTCATCAGTATGTGTATTCTGAGATTGCATAAGAAAAATCTAACTTGGAGCTGAATGGTCAAGGGAGATGTTCTGTTGATTCCTAGTGGATGAATGGAAGTGAGTAGGTCCTGAAGGTGAAAGAATGTTGGCCCTGAAAAAGGAGAGGGCCAACAAGAGGCACTCCAGACTTAAGCAGTAATTGAAGTGTCCTGGGAGATTGTAGTAAGACTGCTGAAAGAGAACAGAGTGCTAGAGATGTGACTAGAGGGTAATCTAGAGTCAGATCTGATTAAATGCCTCTATTATGGATTTAGGTATAACTAAACCTAGACACCATATCTAATTTAGTCTTCCATTTGAAATTATATTACATTCAAAACTTATACTGTAGCTCTATAAGTAGTTGAGATTATCAGGCTGTTTCAAAATAGTGAAATACACTTCAATGAGATAATCATTCCTACTTTTTCATGGATAGTGTAGATGAAAGATAAGATTGTATAATAAATTATACAACCACCTGATATACAAGAAAGATGCTAGGTGGAAGAATGAAAGACATATTTTCTAAAGAAATTAAAAGTGTAGAATTATACCAAGGAATTGTGAGTGGGGAGAGGTAATTTCATAGTCATTCAGTCAGGAATGGCTTCATAGAAGAGAGGTTGGTGACTTTTGTAGGAAGTATGCCCTACACTTGAACAGGGCACATGAGGAATTAGTGAATAAAGATCTGTTGAACTATTAGATAGTTCAGGTGAAAAAAGAAGAGTGAAGAGATGAAACTGGTGGTCGGAGAATATATCTGTGGCAAAGAGTTGGTTAGAAACTTCTTTGATAGGAGATCTGAAGGAATTTATTTTAGAGTAGAAGGTATAATATGATTAGAACAATGGGAAAAAGTGATGCAGTCATATCTAGAATTCTGGAGTCATAGTGGTGTTATTCTGTATACAATGAGGAATTTTCTAAAAAATTGAGGCAGGGATGGGCATGATCATAAGATTTGAGTCTCCTACTGTTTCTGTGGTCTCTTCCTCTTTTGGTAAAGCTCACAAAAGACAAAGAGAATAAAGATTATCCTGAAATTTATAGGGGAGGGAGTAATTATCATTGATAGCAGTTTGAAACTTGCATAGAGGAAATGGGTTTTGTAGCTACCGTAAATCTAAGAAACACTTAGTGAAAATAATTACTTTTATTTGGTCTGGAATATGTGTGTGTTTTTTTTTAAATATATTTTATTGATTTTTTACAGAGAGGAAGAGAGAGGGATAGAGAGATAGAAACATCGATGAGAGAGAATCATCGATCAGCTGCCTCTTGCACACTCCCTACTGGGGATGTGCCGGCAACCAAGGTACATGCCCCTGACCGGAATCGAACCCGGGACCCCTCAGTCCGCAGGCCGACACTCTATCCACTGAGCCAAACCGGTTTCGGCTGGAATGTGTGTTTTAATACCAGACATTTTCATGTAAGGCATTGGTTCTTAGGCTTTTTTCTTTTTTAAAAAAATATTTAAAACTTTAAAATATATTTGTAGAAAAGTACACAAAACAAATGTTCCATTTAAGACTTAACTATTTACTTATAACTCAAACATTTAGATAACTACCATCTAGATCAGCTTTTTCTTTCTTGTACCTGTATACCTCAAGGATGTGATATTTTCATCAGTAATGATAACTAATAATAATTTTTTAAAATCTTAATTTTTTTTTACTGTTTACAGTGTACCTACACCAAGTGTTTACCCTGTTTCCCCGAAAATAAAACAGTGTCTTATATTAATTTTTGCTCCCAAAGATGCGCTAGGTCTTATTTTCAGGGGATGTCTTGTTTTTCCATGCACTAGGTCTTATTTTCAGAGGATGTCTTATTTTCGGGGAAACACAATAGATGTGTTATGTCTTAACAACAATCCTATGAAGTATATACTATTAACTACATTTAGAAGGGAACTGAGGCCTACAATTCTTAGTAACTAGCCCTAAATCACAGGTTAGTAAGTAGCGGAGCCTAGACTTAGAGTGAAGTAGCATGACACTAAAGCCAGAACTCTTACTCATGTGTTAAACTGTTCACTGAGTGGAATCTAAGACTTGACCTATTTGAAAGTTAATTAATGGAGAAAACATATAAGAAAGTTTGACTATATCACAGAAATTCCAATTTTGGCATTTTAAGACTTTGTTAATAAAATGTTTGATATCCCATTTATCATTTGATTTATTTGCTTTTCTTTTTCTTTTTACTCTTTTTTTAAAAAAAAAAACTTTTAAGAAATCTTTATTGTTCAGATTATTACAATTGTTTCTCCCCCCCCCCCCCAATAGCTCCCCTCTACCCGGTTCCCACCCCACCCTCTGCTCTTATCGTGTGTCGTGTGTCGTCGTGTCCCCCCCCCCCCGTCCTCATTCATAGATGTATGGATTTTTGTTCAGTCTCTTCCCGCACGCCCCCACACCACTTGCCCCCTGAGAATTATCAGTCCACTCCCATTCTATGCCCTTGATTCTATTATATTCACCAGTTTATTCTGTTCCTCAGATTTTTAATTCACTTGATTTTTAGATTCACTTGTTGATAGATATGTATTTGTTATTCATAATTTTTATCTTTACTTCTTTTTCTTCTTTTTCCTCTTCTTAAAGAATACTC